TACACAGCACGGAGGCTGGGACAATAAAATCAATTGGGATTGTTGATTCCTAACGCCCAGCCTATAAATACTTTCTCACAACCAGTTGACCACAAAATAGTGCCTCCAAATGTCCCCCAAGCTACATCCTGCCCATCCTGGGACATCGATGCCACATTCAAAAGATTTCTGCCCAAGTCTCCCGAAGGCCTGGTAAGGGATACCAGCCAAACCCATCCAATCTGAAGGATCCCCAAATTCATTGCCCAACTACTCTACCCACAGACTCTCACAACACCCTAAAAAACGTAGCCCACTCAACCACAGCCACACTCAGCATCCAATGAAACAAAAAGAAGTGATCAGCCACTAACTGAATCAATGTAAACTGTGCAAAGAAACTGTTGCAAAGATAAATCATTTTCAATTATACTGTTAAAGATGACCCCAAGAGTCTTTTATGAAGCAAGCAAAATAGTTCTGAATCCCTGCATAATACTAGTACCTGCTTTTAACAGAATAAAAGAATAACAGTTGGAAGGGACCTTGGAGGTCTTCTAGTTCAGCCCCCTGCTCAAGCAGGAAACCTTGTACCATTTCAGACAACTGGCTGTCCAGTCTCTTCTTAAAAACTTCCAGTGATGAACCACCCACAACCTTTTCACTGATGAATTGTTCTCAGTGTCAGGAAATTTATCCTTAATTCTAGGTTGGACCTCTCTTTGATAAGCTTCCATCTGTTACTTTTTGTCCTGCCCTCAAGTACTTTAGATCTCCTCTTCTGTGTGTCAGCCCCCCCAAGTATTGAAGACTGTTATCTTGTCACTCCCAGTACTTGTCTTCATTGGGCTAGACATACCCAGTTCCTGCAACCGTTCGTCATAAAGTTTAGTCATCCCCTAATCATGTTTGTTGCTTTTCACTGCAACGTTGGTATTGTGGTGACCAAAACTGGAGATATTGTTCCAAATGTGGTCTTACCAGTGCAGTACAAAGCATCACTAACACTTCACCTGATCTTGATGCTATCCATCTGTAGATACAGCCCAGGACTGCATTGGCCTTTATGGCAGCTGTAGCACACTACTGGCTCATATTTAACTGACTGTTCACTAGGACTCCTAGATCCCTCTCACAGTTGCTATTGTTGAGCCAGGTCCCACCTATTATATATGCATTTGGTTTTTCTCATCGATGTAAACCTTGCTTTTCTCACCACTGAATTTAATGCTGTTGTATAGGGCCCAGTGTTCACGTCTGCCAAGATCCTTCTGGGTCTTGGGTCTACCTTCCAAGGTGTTAGCATTTCCCCCCTTTTGATACGAAAGGCCTCCAGCTGAATGCCACAACAGCCCGCTCTCTTGCTCTGTTCCGTGGGCTTAAGGGAAGGAGGACTATGCCGACCATTCGGACAGATGGCTCCGAGAGATAGAGTGGGTAGCCACCCTTACGTCCTCACACAGCAGAAGCTCTGACAGTGTCATCCCACAGCAACAGTCTCTCTTTGGGACTATTTTTGAAGATCAGGCAGGAGCTGCAATGGGACCAAGAAAAACCACTACTCACAGGGAGACCCATAATGGTAGAGCTCCACTATTTCACCGTTGATGCATGGATGCCCAAACCCCATTCAGAGTGGCGCTGGGCTGTGCCAGGGGTGGCTTGACCACACAGAACTCTCTCCATCCTGTCCAGCCTTCTAAGAGGCCAATTGCATCAGGCATTCCAAGGGCTGGAAGGCAGCCTCTCCCCATCTTGGCCCTTACAGAGAGAGATCCCAACAGCAGATCTGCCCCTCCTCATGTCGTTGCCATAAGAAACCCATTGTGTGACCAATTATTGTGTGAAACCCATTATATGGAGGTTTGCAGACCTGCATTCACGTTCATTCCCATCTGCACAGTCCATAATGCTCACTCAGTGCACAGCTTGGCTCACTCAATGGCCAGCCTTCACCCAACCACAACTAGAACCACTCAACAGAGCTGACAAGTAATCCGGGAACTAAATGACAAGTGTACTAGGAAGCCCAGACCATTTTAACAGATTAACAGAGTTGGAAGGGACCTTGTAGGTCATCTAGTCCAACCCCCCCCCCGCCCAAGCAGGAGACCCTTCACCATTTCTGACAAATGGCAGTCCAGTCTCTTCTTGAAAGCTTCCAGTGATGAACCACCCACAACCTTTTCACTGATGAATTGTTCTCTCAGTGTCAGGAAATTTATCCTTAATTCTAGGTTGGACCTCTCTTTGATAAGCTTCCATCTGTTACTTTTTGTCCTGCCCTCAAGTACTTTAGATCTCCTCTTCTGTGTGTCAGCCCCCCAAGTATTGAAGACTGTTATCTTGTCACTCCCAGTACTTGTCTTCATTGGGCTAGACATACCCAGTTCCTGCAACCGTTCGTCATAAAGTTTAGTCATCCCCTAATCATGTTTGTTGCTTTTCACTGCAACGTTGGTATTGTGGTGACCAAAACTGGAGATATTGTTCCAAATGTGGTCTTACCAGTGCAGTACAAAGCATCACTAACACTTCACCTGATCTTGATGCTATCCATCTGTAGATACAGCCCAGGACTGCATTGGCCTTTATGGCAGCTGTAGCACACTACTGGCTCATATTTAACTGACTGTTCACTAGGACTCCTAGATCCCTCTCACAGTTGCTATTGTTGAGCCAGGTCCCACCTATTATATATGCATTTGGTTTTTCTCATCGATGTAAACCTTGCTTTTCTCACCACTGAATTTAATGCTGTTGTATAGGGCCCAGTGTTCACGTCTGCCAAGATCCTTCTGGGTCTTGGGTCTACCTTCCAAGGTGTTAGCATTTCCCCCTTTTGATATACTGAATGCAGCGCTCTCAGCTGAATGCCATCAAGCCCGCTCTCTATGCTCGATTCCGTTGCAAGACACTATGCCATTCAGACACCTCAGATAGAGTAGCCACCCTACAGTCCTCAGCACACTCTGACAGTGTCACACAGCATCTCTTCTCAATCTTTCTATTTTTGAAGAACACCAAGAGAAAAACCACTCCCATAATGGTAGAGCTCCACTATTTCTTGATGCATGGATGCCCAAACCCCATTCAGAGGCGCTGGGCTGTGCCAGGGGTGGCTTGACCACACAGAACTCTCTCCATCCTGTCCAGCCTTCTAAGAGGCCAATTGCATCAGGCATTCCAAGGGCTGGAAGGCAGCCTCTCCCCATCTTGGCCCTTACAGAGAGAGATCCCAACAGCAGATCTGCCCCTCCTCATGTCGTTGCCATAAGAAACCCATTGTGTGACCAATTATTGTGTGAAACCCATTATATGGAGGTTTGCAGACCTGCATTCACGTTCATTCCCATCTGCACAGTCCATAATGCTCACTCAGTGCACAGCTTGGCTCACTCAATGGCCAGCCTTCACCCAACCACAACTAGAACCACTCAACAGAGCTGACAAGTAATCCGGGAACTAAATGACAAGTGTACTAGGAAGCCCAGACCATTTTAACAGATTAACAGAGTTGGAAGGGACCTTGTAGGTCATCTAGTCCAACCCCCCCCCCCCCAAGCAGGAGACCCTTCACCATTTCTGACAAATGGCAGTCCAGTCTCTTCTTGAAAGCTTCCAGTGATGAAGTTCCCACAACTTCCAAAGGCAACTTCTGTTCCTTTGGTTGATTGTTCTGTCAGAAAATTCCTCCTTATTACAGCATTCAGACATGGCTACACCCCTCTGTCAGGCAAGCTGGCCTGTTTCCACCTCTCCTCTGTTTGTACAACAGCCAGATGTGCTCTTATCTTGTTTTTCACTGGCTGCTGCCTGAAAACTCTCTTGGCAGCCAGGCAGACACCTGCAATGCCATGCCATTTCCCAAGCTTCAAACCTCACAGGACCACTGGGGTCTCTTGGGAGCCTGCCTGATACCAGCAGCATCACAATAAACAGAAGCCTAATCCTTTTCTACATGTATTGTGACATCTCACCATGCTCCAAAGGGGCAGAATTTGTGGCACAATATCATGGCACCACTTTTGTCAGTTCATTACACAAAAGACTGCCAAATCTTGTGAGATTTCAGAATGCATATAGAAATCTCAGAGGAAAAGCCCAAAACCTGGTAAAAATTGAAGACTGCAGATGTGAAATTGACTGATGTCTCTCAAAAATGTACTAATGCAGGAGCTGTCAGGAAGCTTTTTCTAAAGTTTTCTCAGAATCTGCAGCTTAAATCCCATTTTCTGTATCCTGCACTCAAAACAGAGGGATGGGTGGCTCCCCTTGTTTGAGCAGCCATTATTGGATTATTTTGCCTGGGATGCCTGCCCCGAGCAAGGGTCGAACCCAGGGACCAGACAGCCTCTCTCAAAACTAGGATTTTATTAAAAGGCACCCAGAAGAGTCTCCGGTAGCACATCTATCTTCTCCTGCTGCGGCCTAGCAGCCTGGCATATTTTGGCACAGGGGCAGCCTTAGAAAAAGTCAGGGCACCAGAACAAGATGGGACCCCTTTCAGCTGATGGTGGACTCATCCACCAAAGAAACCACAAGAACTGCAGACAAATCCCCTCAAAAGGGAAGCAGATGGAAGGAAGGCACAGACGGAGAGCCCGAGACACATGGACCAATTCAGCCATCAAGGGGCACAGGGAGATAAACAACCCTTGGATGCTATTCAGAAGAGACAATCCAAAAGCTCAAAGGGCAACAGAAAGCCCAGAACCCCTCCTTGCCAGTTATCAACCCCCAGAGAAGCAGGGATTAACCCCAGACAAAGACACCAGCCCAAGGAAGGATGTGCCAAGGAGAAAACAACCCCGACGGGGCAAAAGGCTGCATATCAACGGCACCGAGTCCGGCAACGGAGCGTTTCCAGCAACCCGCGCAGCTCAGGCAGCGCCCAGGCGCTTCTAGGGCGCCACAACCACAGGCGGCCTTTCCTCCGCGGCGGCGGCGGCGGCAGCAAGCGAGCGGCGGCTGGGGAGGGCCGGAGCCGCTCTCCGCACTGCGGGGCCGGGCGGGCTCACCTTGAACTCGCGGCTGTGCTGCGGCGTGTACTGGAGGGTCCAGAGGGCGCGCACCAGCTGCGCCAGCTGCTCCGTCACCTCCCCGGCGCGGGGCTCGGGCTCTGGCTCGGGCGGCGGGGGCGGGGCGGGCCCGCGGAACTGCTCCAGCGCCAGGAACTCGGCCAGCGGCTCCGTGTTGCTCAGGCACTGCAGCACGGCGTTCATGAAGCACGTGTTCCCGTGGTTGCGCAGCCCCGACACGCCGGGCACCAGCGCCGCGCCGGCCGGGGGGCAGCAGGGCGCGCCGGGGGTCGCCGCCGACGGGGGCCCCGCCTGCTCGGGCCGCTCCTCCTCCCGCCGCGCTGCCGGGGCGGCGCTGCTGCTGCTGCTGCTGCTCGGGGGGGGCCGGCGGGGCGGGGGGGGCGGGGGCGGCGGGGGTCCCGTGCTCGCCGCCCAGGTGCGAGAGCGTGGAGAGCGTCCGCAGCACGCGGCTCACCAGCCCGCCCAGCGAGGAGCCCCCCGCGCCGCGCCCGCGGAAGAGCAGCCGCTTCCCCAGCGACCGCTTCTCCTTCTCCTTGCCCGCCGCCGCCGCCGCCGGCCCCGCGCCCGCCGCCCCGGACGCCGGCAGCCCCGGGGCCGGCGCGCCGCTCACCCGGCCCGCCATGGCGCCTCTCCCGGCGGGCGGAGGGGGGGGGGCAGCGCCGCAACCGGGCCGGCGGGTCAGGCGGCGGAGGGCTCCGGCGGCGGCAGGGGCGGGGCGGGGCGGGGCGCGCACGGCGGGGCGTCACGCACGAAGCCGACCGCGCCATCTCGGGGCCGGGCGCCGCGCTCTCTCTCTGCCGGGGCGGGCCGCCATCTTGGAGTCGGGCAGGCCTTAAAGGGCCCGCGCGGCCCCATCCCTATGGCCGAGCCTGGGTCCTCCCACAGCCCCTCCCCCCCGCCCTCCTGTAAGGGTGGGGGGAGTGCGCGGAGGGGCTTTTGGGCCCAGGAACCCCCCCCCACCCTCGAGACTCTCGGGAAGGAGCCACAGGCCGCCTCCGCCGCAGCCAGCAGGAAGGCCGGGGGGCCGGGTACCCTCCTTGGGTGGGTCCCCCGATCCGAATCCCCCCCGCACACACGCCAGGCACAGATCCGCCTTGAGCTGCTCCCCCCCGGCTGCCCCCCAGAATCCCCCCATCCTGGCTGCCTGGAGAGCTGGAGAGCCGGGCTGCCCATGTGAAGAAGCCCCGCGAGGGTTTCGAGGCAGACCGACTCAGGCACCGCTGGGGCTTCTGCAAAGGTGTTTGTTGCTGGGAGGGGGAGTAAAGTTTGAAAAAACGTCGTTTGTTGACAAAAAGACCCCCCAGTGGTGGAGGACAACCGGTCTGGAGGGTCATTCGGCTACTTGAGGAGGGCTGGCCCTTCACTTCTCAAGGCTGAACACTTAAGGTTCCCTCCATCTCCTTTCTAATCTCTGGTTTTCTTGGTTGCCCTTTCCTGGACCTGCTCCAGATGATCTAAATGCCTCCCTTTGGTGCCCAGAGCCTGGGCTGCAGGGCAGCTCTTACCTTCCGTGGTCTGGACACTCAGCTTCTGCTAGGCACTTTAACATTCCGTTGGCCTCTCCTGCACAGTTACTGTAGGGTCTCCGGCTTGAGTGGGAGGGTTGGACTAGATGACCTATAAGGTCCCTTCCAACTCAGTTAATCTGTTACTTATTTAAATGTATATGCCACCCATCTCATTCTATAAAGCAAACATGGCTGACTCACTCAGTTTGCAAACCAGAGAGCTCTGATTTAATACCATTTCTTAGAAGGAAACTTAAAATACCAGTGAGTACCCCACTTTCAAATGATACATTACATACACATACCTACGCACACAATTTAGGGTGCTCTTTGTATGCAGCAGGCTGGAACTTGGACTCTTTTTGAAGAAAGGGCAGGCTGCAGCTGCTCACTGTTTTGGTTATTGTCATTCCGATCAGTATAAGAAGTTATTCTCACACTGTCTTTTCAATCGATTCTAAACTGATTTCCATCTGCCAAGACCCTTTGCAAAGATGGAAATAACTTTTATGCCTCCCTAGTGGCTAATAAGCCCATCTACTCAAGGCCTTAGATAGGCCCATGAACCAATCATTAGGATTGACCACCTGCAATCTACAAGGAAATGAATATTTTTGTCTGGCTTATTCACCAAAACTACGGTAGGAGTGAAGGCCTTACCACTTTTGATATATCTTTCATTCCCTCTCTTATAAGCCATTGTTTTGCCACTGGCCTTATCTGGCTGAGATCTGAGGAACACATCCTTTCTTGTATTAATTATGCCCCTGAACAAATCAACCCTCCCTCTCTTGTTGCTAAACTACTTCCAAAAATCATCCCTTGTTCAAACATGTCTTTGCCCGTCGGAGCTGATTAATTCCTCCTTTTTCTTTTGTTGACATCCTCCGTTCAGGGCTTCAAAACCTACTGCAAATTACACTAGTATTAAAGTAACCACCATTCAGTCTTCAACAAAGGACACGTTTCACTTTTCCCATTAGAGTTTTTTTTTTTAAACGGTTTAAAAGCAGCTTGCAAGTCAACACATACATGAATGCAGTATTCAGTCATTTAAAGAAGAATTGCCATGACATGAATCTCAATTCAAAACTCTTATCATTCCTGAGTTGTTGGGTTTTTTTAATATTCCTGAAGACAGTCCAGAATCTGTTCAAATAATTTTACTTTTGAGTTTTTACGCATACTCATATTATAGCTACTTTTTTCTCAGAGATTGCTCCTCAACTCTCTTACTGAAATGGTTGCATTATTTTCTTCCACCATAGAGGCGATTGAAATGGGAACAGTCTGGATGTGTCTCAAGTGGGCATGCCAGCCTCGCTACCCTTCTCCATCCTAGTTCTTGGGATTCTCGACAATCCACTTTGTGCTTCTATCATGGTAGCCTGCAGCCTTCTGGATGAACCACCTGGTTCGAGAGTTGCAAGAAATCACAGTGTTTCTCGCAACTTTGCATACCTTCTTCCGTCTAGGTTATAGCAATAGCAATAGCACTTAGACTTATATACCACTTCACAGTGCTTTACAGCCCTCTCTAAGTGGTTTACAGAGTCAGCCTGTCACTCCCAACAATTTGGGTCTTCATTTTACCCAGCTCGGAAGGATGGAAGGCTGAGTCAACCTTGAGCCAGTGAGATTCGAACTGCCGAATTGCAGGCAGCTGGCAGTCAGCAGAAGCAGCCTGCAGTACTGTATTCTAACCACTGGGCCACTACAGCCCATTATGAGGAAAACACAAAGGCAAAAAATACATGATGCTTCTTTGGATTCCAGAGGAGTTGGTGCCATTGGTTGTGCATCTCCACTTGTGCAATCAATCACTGCTAGAATAGAATACATTTCCCTCTTTTTCTAGTTACTTTTCAAAAAGGTTCAATCCGGTCTGCTGGTTCGCGAAGGAGTGCCCCAAGTGTCCAAATTTTGATCATATGACTACAGGGAGGCTCCAGTGGTCATAAGTGAAAAACGGTCATGTCACTTTTTCAGTGCTTTTGTAAATTTGAATGATTGCCAAATGAACTGTTGTTAGGTTGAAGATTACCTGTAGTGCTTTTTCGTTTTGTTCACTTGGCAAATCTTGACATCTTTGGCAATAACTCTTCACATCTTACAGAGGCATCTGCAAAGTGCGTGTCACACATGAAAACAGACAAAATTCTTTTTACCAAAACTTGCAAATACCCCTGACATTTTAAGAAATTCCTGGACAAATCTCTGCCTTAATATTCAATATTATATAATGCATTATTTAATTTACACAACAAGCTGTATAGTTTTCTATGTTTATTAAATATGATTCATTCGTTCCATCATTTTTCTTTTAGATGTTTATCAGTTTAATGTATATTTTTTCCAGTGAAGTTCTCTTGGTTTCTACTGCCTCAGACTTTTTTTCTGTTATAATTTCTCTGATATTTCCCAGAGAGAAATCCTTTTTTATTCCGCTTTTAAATACAGATGTCGCATTCTGCCCAGCGGTTCAAATTCAGAAAAGGTTTTTTTTTTAATCCTCTATCCTCAGGTGAAGTTTATTGACCTCTATCATTGCCAACTGTATGTTTTTATGGTTCTAAAATGAATAGAATAGAATGAATGAGCTGGAAGGGACCTCAGAGGTCTTCTAGTCCAGCCCCCTGTTCAAGCAGGAGATCCCATACTATTTCAGATAAGTGACTGTCTAGACTCTTCTTGACAGGATCCAGTTACCAGTAAATTTTTTGTGTTCTGCCCACTTCCATGGAGGCTGAAGTAACTGGGTGCCAAATATTGACTTTCTTTAATCCGTGTTTTAAATCTTTCCCTGAAGAAATCAGATCACATTTGAAAACAGCCTCTTTGAATCTGTCTCAGCAATCGGATCAGTCCTCAGACAGTCCCCACAGCATCTCCCTCCATCAGAGGGAGTTGCAGTTTCATGCATCTTCCATCTTGAGCTCCTCCAGTCTCCAGCATTTCTCTCACGGTTTCTGGATTTATGACTCACACCTGCCCTTCCCCTCATGTTGCTCTTGTTTCTCTTCTGCTTGAAGCCTTCGACCATTTGCATTCTCGAGCCAGCTCTGGGCTTCCCTTGTGGTCTTCCTTCTTCCATGCCTGGCACCTTCTCCTCTGGCTATGTGGACCTTTCTCAGGACACCTTCTGGCCAGGAGGTCCTTCTGGAGCTGCCCATCTCATGCTCTGAGGCTCCTTATGACCTTCAGCCCTCTTACTCACAGTACAGACCATATCTGGCCTTTTATTCACTTTCACTCCTTTTCAAAATGTTTAACATGACCATCGCTACCCAGAGCCCTTCCTTGAAGGAGATGGGCAGTCTGGAAACATGATAAATACATACATGCATACATACTTTATTTTTCAGCTGTTAAAAATTTCCCCACTCAATTTTTATAATAGGAGTATACCATATAATTTACCCCTGAATAAGCAGTCTTCCTTGAAGCATTTTGATTGCACCATTAGTAAATAAAGCAATAATAATAGATATAGAATAGAATAGAATATATAAATAGCTCTACTTTTTCTATTACTTTCTATTGTATCTTTAGTGAATTGTCTATTTTTCTTTCTGCTTGCGTCCCATTGAATCAGCAGCTTAACTTTGACCTTCAAGGTTTCTTACAGCCCCCAACAAGTTGATTGTTTCCTCCCAAGAACAAGCTGCGAGGCTCTTGGGTCAGGGGGCAGCCGCCATGGAAGCCCACCAGGTGCTGATGGCAAGAAAAGACACACCAGGAAGGGAAGGAGAGAAAAAGGGGAGAAGCAGCCTCATTCTCAGGGCTCTCCCCACACACACAGGCTGCTGATGCCCAACAATTATATCTGCTGGGACGGCCGGTCCCTGCAGGAAACGCTTGGGCCCCGTGGATCAGGCGACACTCTGCCTTGGCCAGGCACACAAGATTTTCAGGTTTCAGTGGCTTTAGGGAGGAAGGCCACCATTGTTATAAATTCATTCATAAATGCCAATGCAGAACAAAGCTTTTTTTATTGGGCTGTGAGAAACACCCTTAACTGTGTTTCAAACCTGATTTAACTTTTTGAAGAGTGTTCCCTCGAAGGAAGGCTCCTTTGTGGAGTCTTTGGTGCTCCCTGAGTGTGGATGTTTTCTTGCAGACATTTCAT